CTCCATGCCCCTGGCCCTCAAGTCATTACACCTCAGCCAATTAGTCGCCGTGGTTCCATCCAAAAGAGAGACGGTGTTTGCTGAGGTTTGGAACCGACGTCAGTGACAACTACTGGATCTACATTATCCGATACATGCGGGAGCGAGTGTTTCCTGCAAAGATATACAGTAAGCAAATAACTGTTATGCGAAAATATGTACGGTAATAATACACATCTAAATCTACACATACGAAAAGTTTCAAACACAAACATATATATATATATACTTATGTATATATGAACGAGTATATAAAACGAACAGTATTTATGTACTTATGTATTTGTGTTTATATGTATATGTACTCGTATATATATATATATACACACATCTGTATATGTATATGTATATGTATATATATATACATATATGTATATGTACATTATAAAAGTATGAGAGAGATTCCTCTAGGCCCTAGATGGTTACCGGTAGGAAATGACGGCGGAGAGGATTGGACCAAATTTTGCCGACGAGCTGTTCCCGGAACTTCTTCCAAAGTCTCATGTGCATCATCTTTGTGTGCTATTTTTTTTTATCACATTTGTGTCATCTTTATCATCTTTGCTTGCCCGGCAAAATTTGGTCCAATCCTCTCTGTTGTCATTTTCCATCGGCAACATCAAGAAAGCACCGGTAGCAGCTAGTCGGCAAAATTTGTTCCAATCCTCTCTGCCCTCATTTCTCACCGGTAACCAGGGAAATGACAGCAGAGAGGATTGGATCAAATTTTGCCGACGAGCTGTTCCCGGAGCTTCTTCCAAAATCTTATGTGTATCATCTGTTTTGTTATCTTTATCATATTTGTGTCATATTTATCATCTTTGCTTGCCCGGCAAAATTTGGTCCAATCCTCTCTGTTGTCATTTTTCATCGGCAACATCAAGAAAGCACCTGTAGCAGCTAGTCGACAAAATTTGGTCCCATCCTCTCCGCCGTCATTCCTACCGATAACCAGGAAATGACAGCGGAGAGGATTCGACCAAATTTTGACGACGAGCTGTTCCCGGAACTTCTTTCCAAATCTTGTGTGTGTCATCTTTTTTTAGTACCTTTATTATATATATATATATACGTCATCTTTATCATCTTTGTTCGCCCGGCAAAATTTGGTCCAATCCTCTCTGTTGTCATTTCCCATCTGTAACATCAAGAAAGCAATGGGAACAGCTTGTCGGCAGAATTTGTTCCAATCATCTCCGCTGTCATTTCCCACCGGTAACCAAGGAAATGACAGTCTCCGCCGTCATTTCCTACTGGTAGCCAATGACATGACAGCAGAGAGGATTGGACCAAATTTTTCCGACGAGCTATTGCCGGAACTTCTTCCAAAGTCTTCTGTGTGTCATCCTTTTCAGTATTATCTTTATCATATTTGTGATATCTTTATCATCTTTGCTTGCCCGGTTATAAGTTTACAGGTAGGTATTGTTCCCATTGAATGCATGTATGTGTGTTCACTCCTTGTCTTTTGGTTCTAGTGCACGAGAAAAGGAGAGGTGTTCCCATTCAATGCAGATATGTGTGTTCACCTTTCATTGTCTTTTGGTTCTAGCACACGAGAAAAGGAGAGGTGTTCCGATTCAAAGCAGATATGTGTGTTCACTTCTCCTTGTCCTTTGGTTATGGGCCACGAGCAAAGGAGAGGATTGGACCAAATTTTGCCGACGAGCTGTTCCCGGAACTTCTTCCAAAATCTTATGTNNNTTATCTTTATCATATTTGTGTGATCTTTAAACTCTTTGCTTGCTCGGCAAAGTTTGGTCCAACCCTCTCCGCCCGGTAAAACAGAAATGACAGCAGAGAGGATTCGGCCAAATTTTGTCGACGAGCCGCTGCCGGAACTTCTTCATGACAAGTGAGAGAACTGGACTAAACTTCGCTGGCGAGATGTTAGCCAACATGTAGTCCTATTTTGTGCTTTGTTTTTTCTCTTACCCATGTGAAATCGCAACACAGAGAAGTGAAACAACTCTTGCCAGCGAGATGTTATCGAAAAATTGATCCTATCTTTGGTCGTGGTTGCGATTGTTTATGTTGTTGCTACTGTTGTCATTGGATGTTGTTGTTAGTCACAGTGCTTGTAAAGGGGGTTTGGACATGATGTTAAAGTTAAAAGATTGGAAGCCACGCCAAAGGAACGACAAAGACCAACAAAAAGCATCCAAGTGTGCCATGTATGACCATCCTGATCCCTATCTTGTTGTTGCTAACCATCCATGTCCGGTTACATGATGACAACAAACGGAGTGTCACAAAAAATATCTGATTCCTCCAGTATGGATGCCGTTCGCCAGCCCAAGCTTCTGAAGGATATGGAAATTCGATGTTAAACACTGTATCACAGTCTGTTGAAAACTTGCTGGATTTCGGTTTATGCAATATATAACTTATCCATATAAT